ACCGTACCAGCAAAGACAGCTGGCCACAATATTTTTGTTTGTTTGTGCCATCGACATGTCTGGCGCTATCCCGTACCTGGCCCGTACCATCAATAGTACGGTACCATCAAGAGAATGAGTATATATGCGAAGTGTATCGGGGGAATGCGTTCAGTGCAGTAACATTTTGTGTGGATTTGTGTGCGAGGCCGAGATCCCACTAGCAGGCTGGCTGGGCCGCCTGTCGACCAGCCCGGGAATCGCATGTAGGCCGATAGCATAATAATTATAACGTGTATACAGTCATGAAGATGTATAGCAGGGAGTCATATTATGTAAACAACTTCCTGCTGTATGGGGAGATTTTCTGGAAAGAAATACGAAGTAGGGAGACGAGTAAATGCAATCAGAATGGATGTTAGTTGCCGTCAGTATAATAATAAGAAGAAGAAGAACGCCCGTGATCGGCAGAGTCAGCGCCGGTCCCAGGAAACGTCAGGACAGACATCCCGTCGACTCCAGAGCGCCCGTGATCGGCAGAGTCAGCGCCGGTCCCATAGCTATGCAGAAGACGTTACTTCAGTATCTCATTGAAACGTTTTTGCAATACAATGATGTAGCTAATCAAAGGAAAAAGCATTTCCATCAGTTCTAACAACATGCACGATGAGCTAGGCAACAAAGCATAGCGCAGGGCCCTGAGCTTCCAAGCTCTCTCGTTTGGTATTTGTGTGTGTGTTTGTTTGTTTGTTTGTTTGTTTGTGTCACGCCTGGCGCTATCCCGTACCTGACGGCAAAAAATCATAGGGATGTTATAAATTTTCAATTCTCCTATTTTTCAGGCATATCCTGGGATTCGAACCCGCACTATCGCCCTACATGCATTCCCCCATACACTTCGCATTCATACCCATTCTTCCAAGTTGCTTCACGTTATGATCTTGCGTTTGAAAGCCCTATTTGAATATTGCGGGCAGCTGTATGTGGCCAGCTGTGTTTGATGGTACGGTACGGGAGACGGTGTCGTATTACCCTCGATCGTATCTGTCCCGTACCTATCCCTACCGTACCGTACCATCAAAGACGGCTGGCCACAATGCATATTCAAATAGGGCTTTCAAATGCAAGATCATAACGTGAAGCAACTTGGAAGAATGGGTATGAATCCGAAGTGTATGGGGGAATGCATGTAGGGCGTGATAGTGCGGGTTCGAATCCCAGGTTATGTCTTAAAAAAAGGAATTTTTTAAAGACCGGGGAATGCATGCAGGGCGCGATAGTGCGGGTTCGAATCCCAGGTTATGTCTTTAAAAAAAAGGAATTTTTTAAAGAATTTATAACATCCCTATGCTTTTTCTTTGTCTAGGTCATCAAGGCAAAAAAGCATAGCGTAGGGCCCTGAGCTTCCAAGCTCTCTCGTTTGGTATTTGTTTGTGTGTTTGTTTGTTTGTTTGTGTCACGCCTGGCGCTATCCGTATCTGACGGCAAAAAAGCATAGGATGTTATAAATTTTTCAATTCTCCTATTTTTTTTCAGGCATATCCTGGGATTCAAACCCGCACTATCGCCCTACATGCATTCCCCCATACACTTCGCATTCATACCCATTCTTCCAAGTTGCTTCACGTTATTATCTTGCGTTTGAAAGCCCTATTTGAATATTGCGGGCAGCTGTATGTGGCCAGCTGTGTTTGATGGTACGGTACGGTACGGGAGACGGTGTCGTATTACCCTCGATCGTACCTGTCCCGTACCTATCCCCTACCGTACCGTGCCATCAAAGACGGCTGGCCACAATGCATATTCAAATAGGGCTTTCAAATGCAAGATCACAATGTGAAACAACTTGGAAGAATTAGTATGTATGCGAAGTGTATCGGGGGATGCATGCAGGGCGCGCGATGGTGCGGGTTCGAATCCCAGGTTATGGCTTAAAAAAAAAGGATTTTTTTAAAGAATTTATAACGTCCCTATGCTTTTTTTTGTCTAGGTCATCAAGGCAAAAAAGCATAGCGTAGGGCCCTGAGCTTCTAAGCTCTCTCGTTTGGTATTTGTGTGTTTGTTTGTTTGTTTGTGTCACGCCTGGCGCTATCCCGTATCTGAAAGCAAAAAAAGCATAGGATGTTATAAATTTTTCAATTCTCCTATTTTTTCAGGCATATCCTGGGATTCGAACCCGCACTATCGCCCTACATGCATTCCCCCATACACTTTGCATTCATACCCATTCTTCCAAGTTGCTTCACGTTATGATCTTGCGTTTGAAAGCCCTATTTGAATATTGCGGGCAGCTGTATGTGGCCAGCTGTGTTTGATGGTACGGTACGGTACGGGAGACGGTGTCGTATTACCCTCGATCGTACCTGTCCCATTCCTATCCCTACCGTACCGTACCATCAAAGACGGCTGGCCACAATGCATATTCAAATAGGGCTTTCAAATGCAAGATCACAATGTGAAGCAACTTGGAAGAATTAGTATGAATGCGAAGTGTATCGGGGGATGCATGCAGGGCGCGCGATAGTGCGGGTTCGAATCCCAGGTTATGTCTTAAAAAAAAGGAATTTTTTAAAGAATTTATAACATCCCTATGCTTTTTTTTGTCTAGGTCATCAAGGCAAAAAAACATAGCGTAGGGCCCTGAGCTTCCAAGCTCTCTCGTTCACACATATCCGCCAGATGAGTACACGTGGCCCATGCACCATGGGGGCCCACGAATACAAACCAGCATATGTTCCCTCAGCAATACAAGCAAACCCTGCGTATAGCAGTGAGCAATAATAATAATAATTCGCGGGATTCGCGTTGGCATCGCTTGAATGTTCAGAAACACACAAACTAGCCTTCGCTTCCGCAGGCCACCACTATGCCTATGCCTTGCACACCTTAGTGGCGAATGCAGACCTCATAAGTGAGTCAGGGGAGAGTAGGTGAGTCTCTCAACCAATCGGGCGTGTAACGGCCCATAACCCTGTAAACTGCATCCTTGTTACCCTCACTCCGAGCTGTGAGTACCCAGTTGACCGTGGGTGTCGGCGCAGTTCACCACGCATAAAAAGTCTTTACTCACGTAAAAAGTCTTTACACGCTCCCTGCTACCAGCGTGGGTTTCGAACTCGGGACCTCATGATTCGCAGGCAGGCCTGCAAACCAATCGGCCATATGCGTTGGTTGGGGGTAGTGAGCAATTAGGAAGTTAAAACCTGCTAGGACCGATGCACAGTGACTCTAATATGGAAATGGGCTTTGCCTAAAGCCCCTTGCACACTACGTACAAGTAAAAAGTTGCATTTTAGCGTATGCGTCACTTTCAAGCAAGTCCCGATCAGTTCCATTGCACACTTGAAAAGACATTTTCGTTTTAATAAAATACTCATAAAATTTTCTATGGCAACTGCCGCCTCACCGGTGTTGCATGGAGATAGTGCGGGAAATTTTAAATTTTTTTAAACTTTTCTCTCCGAGCTTGGTCTGCAGAAATGTTTGTCGAGTGTTGGTGAAATGCTATCACTTCCACATGGATCTGCGACTTCCCATCGAATGCCATGTCCAGGCCAACACTCCTAGCATACAGATTGAGGTCTTCAGCGATCTCTTTCTCCTTCTGTGACCTCTTCTTCATCGTTCCACTTTTCTCCCGCTGGTAGTGTGCCCACAGCTCGATCAACTTCCCCTCCATCTCATCATTGAACACACCTTTCGGCATGCTGAACTTCATCGCGACAGAAGGAAACAAACAACGTGCAACTACTCAAAACAAGGAACAAATCGAAAGGAAAAAAGAGCTGACGACAAGAGTCAAGAAGTCTCACGGAAGGACAGGTGCAAAGCAAATTACGGTCCAGAAATGCAAATAAAACATAAACGCGCCTTTGTATACCCGTCTGGAGTTTGCTGAATACGTTTGCGCAACATTTTAGGTTTCCCGCGAAAAGCAGACCGTTTGCATGGTAACATTTACCGGAACGCAACAAAAATGGGATTTTATATGTAGTGTGCAAGGGGCCTTAGGGTCATCGCGATTTTTCCCCATCCCCGTTTTGTGGCCATTGCCACCTGATCCCAGTGCCTATGGAATATTAGCGCACTGTGTTCGAGTGTTGAGCTCCGACTCTTTGTTGTACACTAGACTGGTGCATTGCCCGTTGCGGTAGTACGGTCATGATGTTGTTCACTTCTTCAGGTGACGTTACCTGTCTGCCTTGCCAACGTTGTCCTCAGTTTCTACTGTCCTCCTACGCTGGTATCCATTTCGTGTGATGCAGGTGCTACTGGTGGTGGTGCTGGTAGTGCTGGGGATGTTTTGTGGTGCTAGACGTGGTGGTTGTGCTGGTGATGACTTGTGGTACTGGTTGTACTGGTAGTGCTGGTGCTGGTAGTGGTTGTGATGTTTTGTGGTGCTAGAAGTGGTGGTTGTGCTAGAAGTGGTGGTTGTGCTGGTAGTGGTAGTGCTGGTAGTGGTAGTGCTGGTAGTGGTTGTGCTGGTAGTGGTAGTGCTGGTAGTGGTAGTGCTGGTAGTGGTTGTGCTGGTAGTGGTAGTGCTGGTAGTGGTTGTGCTGGTAGTGGTTGTGCTGGTAGTGGTTGTGCTGGTAGTGCTGGTAGTGGTAGTGCTGGTAGTGGTTGTGCTGGTAGTGGTTGTGCTGGTAGTGGTTGTGCTGGTAGTGGTTGTGCTGGTAGTGGTTGTGCTGGTAGTGGTTGTGCTGGTAGTGGTTGTGCTGGTAGTGGTTGTGCTGGTAGTGGTAGTGCTGGTAGTGGTTGTGCTGGTAGTGGTTGTGCTGGTAGTGGTTGTGCTGGTAGTGGTTGTGCTGGTAGTGGTTGTGCTGGTAGTGGTTGTGCTGGTAGTGGTAGTGCTGGTAGTGGTTGTGCTGGTAGTGCTGGTAGTGGTACTGGTAGTGGTAGTGCTGGTAGTGCTGGTAGTGGTTGTGGTGTTTTGTTTTGTGGGTACGTGTACGTTGCACTAGGTAATGACTCTTCTGCTGTGTTTTTGTATTTTTTTGTATTGTTGCTGCTGTTTTTGGCAGGCTTCAGCTCTCAGATTGGCCGGCACTATGCTGAATGGACATCAGCTGAGCCCGAGTGCTCGCGAGCGGCTTCAGCAAGCTTTGACTGAGACGACAAGGAACGCTGTCCAGTTTGCATCGGCCAGCGTGGCTTCTGCGTCTGGCGTAGTCGACGCCCCAGCGCAGCCGAGTCCTGCTCAGCCGCAGTGACAAATCACCCGAGTCTGTGTGCGTGAAGGCGGTCTGAACGGCTGCACGGTGTGGCCGTGCCAATGTGCGCGGCATTCACCTGTGGTCTTAGCATGTGGAAGTGCTAAATTACAATCAGAATCAGATCAGCGTAGTGCACCATCGGACACCAGTTGAGAAGCAACCAAGATGCTGTATCTCTGTTCACACTGGTGCAGTTTGAACTAGATCTCTCTCTTACATAGAGCCGGTCTCTCCTCTTTACTGATGACTAGTAGCGTACCGGAAATTGTACTATATCTCGAAAGTCTTGCAACAGACTGTACAGGTGCAACGGATTGTACATACCCGAACCGTGGATGTAAATGTATTTGTTCTTGTTCCGCTGCTGCTGCTGCGGCCGCTGCTTTTGTTATGGATGTTGTGTCGGTGGCATTGCTGTCAGTACCAGTGTTGATGTGAGGAACTGTTTGCTTCGCCCAGTCGTAAGGTGACCATGCCACTAGTCAGTACTGTGAGCATTGTGAATATAATTATATACATAGAATAGCACTGAAGGACATGCAATGTAGCAACGCAATGTAGCTATCCGAGAGGTGGTGGTATTTAGGTGGTACATACATGTGTGTGTGTGTCGGTGCATGTACATATTTTAATATGCTTATTATCATTGTGATGTGTTTCGTATCTTGTGCAGTCTGGATCTCTGTGATATAGTCTTTTGGTTAAATGTGTGCCGCTGCTTTCGATCTGGCTGTGTAGCAATATCGCCCATTGGCCTATCGAACTCTGCTGCTACCCTGTGGTGTTTATCTGTACATAATTATCTTGTGATCTCATGCTCTCTCCATCTACTTGTTGACGTATCCTGAAACAATACTCGCTGAAATTATGCTGACCAGAATCATGGTGTTTGTACATGTATAAAACTTGCATGCATATCTTGTGATCTCGTGCGTGCCTACTTGTAGACGTATCCTGAAACAATGCTCGCTGATTTTTTGCTGGCCAGAATAAAACTCGCCTCCTGCTTCCAGTATTTTCAACTCAGAGTACCCTGTGTTTCCTGTCTTGCTGTGTGCACTCATTGCGAAAGTCGAAGTCTGATCATCAAGTCTTGTTTTGTTCTCAGTTTCCTGCTGCTTGCTTTTGTATGTGTACCAGTAGAACACACACAGAGTCCCGTGGAATACTCATTCTGCCTCTTGTCACTCTCTACTCAGAGTTTCTTCCAGACTGCAGTGCTGACTGCACCCTATTGTGGTAGTCAAGGTTACAACTCAGTCACGGTACAGTGTGCCATAATTAATTCCCATAATTCTGTGTAGCAACAAGAGACTAGCTCAGGACTCTTTGCCACGCCCGTCCCCATCATCAAGAGTACATAACCCTGGCCTGAGCCTCTGAGGGTTGAGTAAATCATGGAGGTCGAGTACATAACCCCTGGGGGCCCCCATCATCAAGAGCACATTATCACCCTGGCCTGAGGGTTGAGTAACTCATGATGGCAAGAGTACATATAAACCCCTGGGGGGTATTTTGTACTCTTGCCATCATGAGTTTATTATAAACCCCTGGGGGGTATTTTGTACTCTTGCCATCATGAGTGGCAATTACATGTAGCTGAAGATCGCCCAGAGCGTACGAGTTACAACGAGGGGGTCAACTACTCCCTGGTGATAACTATTATGATGGAGGCTGCTCCCTCTTGTATGACCGACACTTTGCTCATCTTGCACGTGTAATGACTAATGCCTAGTAGTAGTAAGGCCACCCTTTGTTAATTCATTGTTTAACGTCCTTTTTTTTGCGAAAAGGTACGCGGGAGGGCGGAAAAAAAACAAAAGTCCATTCCAAAAACTGGAAACCCCAATCAAACATTTTGACCAGGGAGTAGTACAATACTGTTGTACTACTCCCTGATTTTGACCAGTAAAGCATGTGATATACAATATTTCTGGGTCTAACGGCACTTGCAGGCATAGAACAACACTCTTTGATGGTACATTGCCATTGGAGCACATGCCTGATGAATCCAACAAAACAGGTACATAGCATGGAGTTAGCATGTCATGAATTCATTACATCTGGATTTTTACTAGGACACACGCCGTACGATATTTAAAAGCCAACAAAAAAAGAAAAAGAACACAAGACAAAGGCATGCCCGGGAGGCAAGATTATAAGTTTAAGGGTCATGATCGGCACACTGTGAAACTACACGATCATGTATTTACAACTTCGCATATTATTGGTACTACTACTTTCTTGTTTTTTTTTCCGGTCGGAGGCAAAAAGGTACGCGGGCGCGGACGTTAAACAACGAAAAAAGAAAGGGTGGCCTAATGGGTGAATGCCCGCGCCTGGCACGCTGCCGGCCCTTTGCGCTCCTGTCACGTGATGACAGACGTACCACAAACACAAGCACACACACACACAGATCGATCCTCTCGTCAAAATGGATGTAGAGTAGAAGTTTGAAAAAAGGAAGTACATGTAAGTTCAATTAACCAAAGTTATTAAAAAGAAAAAGAGTACCAGGCTGGCAGAGAGCTCACGATCACATTGGGAGAGGATCTACTTGCACACCCCAGTGATCATGTTGCTTGTACAGTAAGGCCACTAAGGGTCGGATCAGTAGAGTATAGTATTAGGGGCTATCCGGCATTATCGATAATTTTCACGAAACGAAAAAGTTTAGTTAGGATCCTCCCCCACCCACCCACCCCCCTAAACGAAAAATAGATTGACTTGACAGCAAGAATGCCTTGATGTCTCACATATCAATATTTTTCAAAACGAAACTTCCCTTCACCCACCCACCCATATACGAAACTTTTTTCTCTTTGTGTAAAAGATCGATAATTATGGACGGCCCCTTACACGCTTACATTTTTCGAACAAGTGAAGAGCCGGGAGTCGTCGGAACTTGGCACCTCCCTGGTGAAAAGTCAACTTTTCTTCTTAACGCAAATAATTCATGCGCCGTGATGACGAGAGAGCTTGGAAGCTCAGGGCCCTACGCTATGCTTTTTTGCCTAGCGCATCGTACATGTATGTTTTTTCCGTTGATTGGCCACATCTCACACGCATCCATTGCTCAATCATGCATCATTTGCCTCTATGACAAACTTTGGCCTGAGATTTACTCTGGCCGGTTGGTACTAAGCGGCGAAATCAGCAAAATTTAAATCGCCAGCTAGGATTAGTTGATTTTAATACAGTAATCGGATTTTCTGGCCTTTTTTTAAGCTGTTGTCTGTTGAGCCAGGTAAGATTATACCGTACTGGCAATATATGTTGCCGCGTAACGCAGGGGGGTGCGGCGTAACGCGCGACTAGGCTAGTGCGACAAATGTTCGTTGCGTTCGTAACGCGCGTCCGGCGGGGTGCGGCGATCTTTTCATGATTGGCTGCAATGATGTTTGTGCGTTCTTGCAGGGATGGCAACTGAAACTCCACGTCAATACCTGCAATGCGAAGGGCTGGCGTGCAATCAATATCACTTGGAGACACTGTCCAGAACCAAAGTGGCAGCCCTGCATAATGCACCATGGCGCACATCTTGCTGATAGAGTCGTTCCTCTCGGCTGGACCAAATGGAACACGTCTACAGTAAATTCATCAATAATCTAGCGTCTCTATTGGCCGGGTTTGCTGCAGCTTGCGTGACTCTATCGGAGATTGACCGTAGACGGATCCAAAATCAACCGGTTGAATTTATCAACCGACTCTCTATCATTTTGACCTTCAAATGAACGCCGAGCGCAGCATTCCAACGACGAATTCGGTCATATAGATAGAACAAAAATCGGTTGTCCCTGCCGAAACGACCATCATGCCACATCATAACTCTTTTGGATTATAGATGTTGACATAATATCTTTTTCTCCTATGCCCAACGGGAAGAGGTATGGGAAACCTAACAGGAACGCGTTGTGAGTAAATTCATTAATCATCTCACTACAGTCCATTCACAAAAAGATGGGCTCTGGCGAGCTCCCGTATTTGGCGATTTTTCCAGATTTTATCGTACACAGTGCAGTGCTGTGAAATTTGAAATTTGTGAAAAGGTCCAAAAGGGTACCTGAACTGGGGTTCGAACCGTACAATGCACTGTTGCAGGCAGGGTCAAACGGCCTGGATTTTGATGGTTTTTCCCAATTCAGTGCTCTTGGGGCAAAACCTGGCCGAAATCCTATAGTCCTTATGCACATTGTACAGATGTACGAAGTTCTGTACTATGGCCGTAGGTGTGTACATACCCGGTTGGGTGTTCATTGTGTGCTATACATGCGCGTTTGACCCATTTAGCCTCACAATTCATGGCAAACGATCACTTTTCAAGCCTTCTTCACTTTGGCATTGAACTAACGACTAGCTAGATCTCTGCCGGGAAAAGATTTCGTATGAAATGCCTTCATGGCCCATTTCATAGTGGAAATAGCAGTAAACACAATAGGGTCCTGCACATTCAACACCCAACCGGGTCTACGGGATTCTACAAGATTATACGGGATTTCGTGCATCTGTACAATGTGCATAAGGCCTATTCTTGTTATGGCTTGCTTTTTTGAGAAATAGATTTCAGAAACATAATTGGAAGAGGATTTCATAGGGGATTGCAGAAAAAAATTCTAAAAAAACTCAACATTTGACCCATTTATGGCCAAAAGCTAGAAGTCCATCTTTTTCTGAATGGACTGTAGTATCCGTCCTGATGGTGACTTCCAATAACCTGTCCCTCCGTGTTTGAGAAGATGCATTCCGGTACGTGCCGTCTGTTGTCACTGGCCCCTGAGCTTCACCATCCGTGCCATTAACAGTGTGTTCTAACACTTTGAACACTTCAGATGTTACGCTAGCATCATGCTGCATGGCTCGAGAAGTCAGCATAACAGACTGCACACCGTCCACAGCTGGTAATCCCAAGGTGTCGTCGAAATCAGTCACGTCACCATGCGGTCTTACATTGGCTGTGTCATCGCGCGCGTAGTCGTCTATCGCCGCTGCGATTGCACTGTCCGCGCAATGAGCATTGTCCACAAGTAATTCTGGAAGAATCTCCAAAGCGTCTATAATGCTTGACGTCAAGTTGAATGCATCTTCCGGCAAATGACGATATGCGCAGTGGTCAGCAGCTCTCATCACACGGAGCCATTGCATTATCTTGCGCCCATTACACGCCAGAAGACCACTGTGCGGGCCGTCCCGTCTTAATATGTCAGACCGCTTTTGTCGCCATTGTACACTAGATCCTAGGAACATAATCGAAAAGTCTTCAGATATATCTTCGAGCCTATAATCATAGCAAAACAATCGAAACAAATATCTAGTTAAAAACCTTTTTGAACCAAATTTAAACATCGTCAAAAACCTACTACACACCTCACAACTACCAACGAACTGCACAAACTAACTTAAAAAAGTTGCATTTCAAATTTTAAACGAACCTGTGCCTTGGAAACATGGCAACAGTCGCCTCGACAGCATCGTGACGGAACATCACTGCATGACCCTCCAGGAAACTCTGAGATGATCTTCCAGCGGCTCCACGAGAAGGTTTCAACTTGAGAATAGTTGCGAACGTTCGATACGGCGACACCACAATCTTCTCGAGTAATGACAACGGTTCCAGCATGTCCAACCTTCCGAAATCGTACCCACTAGCCAAGCTAAATTTTGGCACCATTCCCTTCTTCAAGGTAGCGCTACAAGCGGCACAAATGATAACTTCAGTGGCACCATCTTCAACCTCATTTAAATGATCGGGGAGAAGGTGGTACAGATTTCCATCTGAAGGGGAGCGATATACATTCATCAGTTCCCTTACTATCTCTGGCCTCTGCTCGTACATTTCGGCGGCTGAATCATCCAGTCGAAGGCATTTCATAAACGCCTCGTCCTGAAGTCAATACTTGTGTGACTTCACCATATCACGGCAGCAGCCACACGCAGCAGCGCACAGGCAAACATTCTCTAGATTATACTCGGCTTGGAACGCTTCCAGACCATCAGCTAGCAGGGCTGTAGAAACTGGTGCTGGAATCATGGATGCCAGTTCTTCTCTCACAGAAAGTATCAGGTACTGTCCGAGACGGTCCACGACCATGACCTGAAGCAGCATAAAAGGAAAGCAGAGCTACGTCAACGTTATCTTCCCTGCAAGATTGCAATAGTTGGCTATACTGCTGGCGCTCTTCACGCGTCAAAGAGGACACCATTGCATGATTTATTTCCTCTACCATAGACCGCACAGTTTCCATGTGCGCAGCTGCAGTAGCATGACGCGAATCAGCACGATTAAGCCTCCTATGCTCATTTCTTGCATTTGTGTCGTCCGACGTTTCCTGGGACCGGCGCTGACTCTGCCGATTACGGGCGATCTGTAGTCGACGGGATGTCTGTCCTGACGTTTCCTGGGACCGGCGCTGACTCTGCCGATCACGGGCGATCTGGACTCGACGGGATCTCTCTTCCGACGTTTCCTGTGACCGGCGCTGACTCTGCCGATCACGGGCGTTCTGTAGTCGACGGGATCTCTCTTCCGACGTTTCCTGTGACCGGCGCTGAATCGCCCGTTCACGCTTATTTTGGAGACGACGGGATCTCTCTTCCAAAGTATGTTTTTGCTGACGCATCCTATCACCTATTTGGCGTCTATTCTAATTTAATTTCCTCCTCCTCTCCCTATTTCTTTAAGTATGTTTTTGCTGACGCATCCTATCACCTATTCGGCGTCTATTCTAATTTAAATTCCACCTCGTCTCCCTATTTCTCTCCCTCTACATCAGGGAGTCGTATACATAATACGACGATATATTGGTACGGTATGGGACAGATACGCCAGCAAATATTGTGGACAGCTGTTATGAACAGTCCTGTAGAGCCTTTGTAGTCACAGATACGGGACAGATACGGGATAGCTCCAGGCGTGACACAAACAAACAAACACCAAACAAACACCAAATTAGCGCCAGATGTTACTGAAGTAACGTCTTCTGCATAGCTACGGGAATAAAATTTGTTTACATACATAGACTAGACTAGTCTTACTTGAATGGCTTCAGCAAGCCAGCCATTCTTGTGAGACTGACTGAACATGTTGCTTGTGTACTTCAAAGAAGTACTTGGTTTGAAGCATATTTACTGTACATTCCGATCACATTGACAAGTAAGCATCACCAAACTCAAAGTGCGACTGCATGCACATGCGTTGCTCGTCACAATAGCACTAGCTGTGGTACGGTGCAAAGATGAGGACTGCTGAAATTCTCAACTCCAACACGGTGCACATGATCGCAGTACACTCTGTGTTACGTACATAATTACGCAGTGGGCCAAGTAACTTCGCTGGCTAGTACAAATGGTCGGTACAATCTAGTCTCCTCTGAAGAACCCTGGGCTACTCAGAAACAACGATACTGCAAACAAAACGGAGGTTGCCTTCGGCTTGGATTCGTCCATGATGAACTCCATGACATGATCACGGGGTACTTCGATAACTTCGATGAGCTCTCCCTCGCTTTCCAGACCGCCACCTTTCCCAGTTTTCATCTCATCTGTAACCTGAACAACCCAACCACACATTCGGAGACACACATGCACATACACATGCACACATACACACACGTACACATACACACACACGTACAGACACACATACACACCACACCACACACACAACAGCCCAAGCTTGTAAACTAACACGCATCGTTAGGTATCTATCTACCGTGTAAGACGGCAGAGCAAAAGGTGGACGCAGTGATTTCACAATACATTGCAGCAGCATGCAACCTCTGGAAGTGAAAGGGTCCGTGCACATTGCCATCACCACTTTTAAAAAACTTCTTACAAGAAACAGGCCACTTATACAGGTCTGTTTCAAACTGCTCAACCATGATGCCTATTATGCCATAATGGGCATTACTGCATTTTCTGCTTTCCGTTTCCACACCCCTCAATGAATTACTATAGTCATGTATATGTACTGCGCTGTTTAGGCCTCGGTCACACATGCACTTTTTTTGGCGGTTCCGCCAAAGCGTAACTTACGCTTCCGCGGAAAGTTTGGATTTCGCTACGCCAAAAAAAATGCGAGCGGAGCCTCCGCTTTGGCGGAACCTGCATGGTGGTGGCTTTGGAGTTTGGTGTGCTACTTCTGCACTGAGTTCTGGTGTTGTTTGGTTGCCGTTTGGTATTCAGTTTTCATATTGTTCTTCTTTGCCAATGAACTGTACGTTCTGGAGATCTCGCAAACAATACTGCATCGTTATGAGTGGATAATTGGTGAGGGAATCCGTCTCCCAACTCATTGGCCCCGTTCGCGGACGATCTCCAACTCTCTCCTTCTCTCTCCAAGCAATACGTCCACCAGAGTATGCAACACTAGGACTGCAACCAGGGAGTAGTAGAGTACTTTGCCACACCATCACTGCAACTGCAGGCATCCACGCAGTCGCTGGGTCGATGATGGATCATGGAGGAGGCAACGACACCCTGCTATAAAACTATTTGAATTTGATATTGATGTAAACTAAACTAATATTCAAATACACCCGTGCTGGGCCGCAGTGAATGTGCCCCAAATCCACGAGTGTACTTGACAGAAGACATTCAGCAGCCTGGCAGCGATCCACGATAGCTCTACTTGTACAAGCGAAGGTCGCTTCAACTCGGACAAGAAGGAGGCAACCGTCGGACACCCTGCTATACAACCAGTGGCGTGTCCAGGATTCGGCTGAGGGGGGGGGGGGGGGGGGGGCTGGGGTTGCGGCCGGGATCAAGGCGGGATGGGGTGGGGGTACATGACATCATGCTACTGTCCCAGGTCAGCCATTTTGAAAACCGATGTCAAGAAGCTCCTCCTGTAGCCCCCTTCTTCAACGGTTATTCACCCGAACGGCCCCAGAGACTGTTCCGGAGGATCAGCGCACCACACGGGGACAAGTGTCGAACTTGCTTCAAGTTCCCTTTCTTCGTGGGCCTGCGGGACGATCGACCATGATGTTTCGGGGAAGCATTCTCTGGAACGCTCTCCCCTCTGATTTTAGAGTGATACGTGTCCCTGGTCCCTTCCGAAAAGCTCTTTCTGCCATTGATATACATGTACTTACTTTGTGAATATCCTCGTTAAACTTTTATTATCTGCCATAAATTCCAACCTTCTATTCTATCAATCATTTGTGCATGCATGTCTATAAAATCAACCACGTGTTCCTGACTCCATGAAATTGTCTTTCTATTCTTTGACTCCATGAAATTATTGTCTTTCTATTTCTGACTCCATGAAATTGTCTTCATCTAAATTTTTCCTTTTCTTCTTTTGGTCCTTTCTGTCTTATATTATTATTATCATTTCTTGTTTTCCCTTGCATATCATCCCTTCATCATTCTGTGAGAACCTGTCCTATGGGCAGGTGAGAAGGCATCTCTGCCTGTTCATTTGGTGAAGTAAAATAAACAACAACAACAACAACAACAACAACAACAACAACAACAACAAGCCGTACATCTCACACACCACGAGCAGTATTTCTGTACACGCAGCAACAATGTACATTCATCGGTAAACTATACTTCAAATTTGCCGTTATGTGAGCGAATCAACTGCAATTATTCCCGTAGCTATGCAGAAGACGTTACTTCAGTAACGTCTGGCGCTAGCCAGGGTCCACACAGCTTTAATTTGGTATTTGTTTGTTTGTGTGTTTGTTTGTTTGTTTGTGTCACGCCTGGCGCTATCCCGTATCTGTCCCGTATCTGTCCCGTATCTGTGACTACAAAGGCTCTACAGGATTGTACATAACAGCTGTCCACAATATTTGCGGGCTCCTGTATCTGTCCCGTACCGTACCAATATTCGTCGTATTATGCATACGACTCCCTGATGTAGAGTGGGATTTGGAAAGAAATAGGGAGACGAGGAGGAAATTAAATTAGAATAGACGCCGATTAGGTGATAGGATGCGTCAGCATAAACATACTTTGGAAGAGAGATCCCGTCGTCTCCAAAATAAGCGTGAACGAGCGATTCAGTGCCGGTCACAGGAAACGTCGGAAGAGAGATCCCGTCGACTCCAGAACGCCCGTGATCGGTAGAGTCCGGCGGTACCAGGCAACGTCAGGACAGACATCCCGTTGAGTCCAGAACGCCCGTGATCGGCAGAGTCTAAGCCGGTCCCAGGAAACGTCAGGACAGACATCCCGTCGAGTCCAGAACGCCGTGATCGGCAGAGTCAGCGCCGGTCCCAGTAAACATCAGGACAGACATCCCGTCGACGCGCAGAAAAACTAAATCTGCAGCCTCTTTTGCCGTCGAACAGGATACGTATTTATATAGGAGACTGTAAAGTTATGTAATGTCCAAATTTCGACGTGAGCAGCAGGTCACTCGCGTTGATTTTTTCGACGTGCGAGCCAAATAACGCGAGCTGAACTTTCGCGTCGCAGACATCCCGTCTACGCGCAGAAAAACTAAATCTGCAGCCTCTTTTGCCGTCGGACACGATACGTATTTTAGGAGACTGTAAAGTTATGTAATGTGCTCCACAGGCAACCATGCATTCGGCGTCGTCATTGGCTCAACAGGTCAATGTAGATGTATTTCTACAAAAAGGCCAGAAAATCCGATTCCTGTATTAAAATCAACTAATGTTCGCTTGCGATTTAATTTCGCTGATTTCGCCGCTTGGTACCAACCGGACAAAGTAAATCGCAGGCCAACGTTTGTCATACAGTAAGATCGGGCGCCGAAGAACGCAGGGGCTCGAGCGCAGCCTAGGAAAGTTCTTAAATTTTTGATTCTAGCCAGACCGTTCTTATTCACACGTACGCGCCCAGCGAGTCGAGTGACGTCATGACGTTTGTCATGTACATGTACATGTACATGTACATGTAGTGCAATGTAGTACTTCTAGTGGGGGGGGGGGGGGGGGGGTAGTGGGTGTCGTAAATGGGAATGACTGTACATGTAGCAGTTACTGTTTACACGTGTACATGACATGTACTCACCTCCCATACATGTACAATGTATAGACCTTATTCGATAACGTGACTTTTGGACTCGCCTCCAGGGATTTGTCATAAGCTAGGGCACGCGTACGAGAAACGAGTGGCAAGAAAGGCCCAGTTTGTACAAAAGAGTAGTAAAATACCGGTATTTATCTACTCCTATGTTCGCACACAGAGTCCACTGTGCACTGTATTTATATCATTATCTCATGGCACATCATGATGACGGCCAATAAAACTGAGACAAGGGTGAAAGCCAACCACAGCAGTAAAACAGATAAAAGAATACAAATAAGAGGCAAAGAAGGCAAAGGAGGAGACAAACCAGCAGGATATACATGAAACCTATAATTGAGCAGAGATTTTAGCAACAAAATTATCCATCGACGTGCTGGTCTTGGCCTGCGTTGGTAATGTTGCCCAAAACACATAGCCAGCAAAGATCGGGGATCTAGTGAATAGGGTGGAGGCAGCGCGTGGGAGACTGAGTGAGTTCCGGGTGTTCCGTGTTTCGGAGAACCAATTATAAGCCTGCATATGCAAGGGTATTTTATTTAGTAATATTTTATGTATGAGAACACAGAGGTGGTACTTATGTCGAGTGGAAAGGGGACTGATCTTGGCAATTTCGTAAAGACTAGCGGAGGGAAAGCGACGATCTTTGCTAAATAAGATTTTAAGGAGCATGCGGTTATGGGTTTCTAGCTTGTTCAATACAGTAGTAGTTATGCCACACCAAGCAGTATCACAGTAGTCAAGTAAGGGCAATATATAGCAACGATAAAACAAGCGTTTGCAAGAAAGAGGAAGATGTCTACAGTGGGCTTGAAGAGCCCCAAGGATGGAGCTTGTGCGCTTGCAGACATACTGCACATGGGGTGACCACGACAATTTAGAGTCAATAATAACGCCAAGATGCTTATGCTCTTCAACAATGCGAATAGCAACACTTGAAGAAGGAAAACAAAGTGGCAGGGAAGGGGGAGAAGGGGAAATGTACATAGCTGCCGTTTTATCAACGTTTGGCTGCAACTTCCAATCATGCATCCAGGTTATAACTTTCCCAATGCTATCTTGCATGGCTTCGTGCAGGCGTATAGGGCAAGCATTGGAGCAAAGCAGAGCTGTGTCGTCAGCGAAAAGGCTGACACCAGGGGCAGTATCGGGGAGGTCATTAATATACAGGAGAAATAGCAGTGGCCCAAGGATTGAACCCTGGGGGACTCCAGAAGTAACGGGTAAAGGCTCCGATAACACAGTTGAGAGGCGTACAAGCTGATGTCGGTTAGAGAGATACGATGAGAGCCAGCCGATAGCCTTGCCATCAATGCGATATACTGTTCGCAGCTTAGCTAAGAGACCCCTGTGCCAAACAGTGTCGAAAGCCTTTGCGAGATCGAAGAAAACTAAACCAACATGGTTATGGGCGTTCCGGGCGGTGTGGATGTCTTGCACGAGGCGGGTAACCTGGTACCTGGTGGAGTCACCCCGACAAAAGCCCGACTGTGCTGGCGAAAGTGAAATGCGAACATGATCATAAATGATGTCATATACAA